AATCTACTTGGGGGTGATGCAACACACGAAGTATATAAGTGGCATCAGGGTATAGAAAATGCTCCAATGAAACGCACACGTTCTCGTTCTTTATATATACCACGACCAAGTGATCCAGATACTTCCAATATTAGGGAACCAGGTGGCTTTCGCCGTCATCATGTAATAATGAAGGCAAGAAAAGAAGGCAAGCAACCACCCAATCTCATAACACGTAACTTCATTGATTTCCTGGCGATGTATGGCCACTTTGCTGGTGAAGATCTGTCTGATGATGAAGAAGAGGAGGAGTTTGAAGACATTGATACTGAAGCAACCCCGTTGATTTCACGTGAAAACGCGAGTGCGTCTCCCGCAAAAGCAGTCTTTTTACTGTTAAAATCGTTCGTAGGCACAGGCGTTATGTTTTTGCCCAAGGCGTGAGTTTAATATTCTACGAACTCGTGAATTCTATCAAGTAAAAAACTCGCTCATTTCATGTATACTCTCTAATAGATTTTACAATGGTGGCATGGTCTTTTCTACTATTTTTTTGATTGCTATTGCAGCAATATCATTGTGCGCATTCCTATTATTAGTACAAACAAGATTTTATATTCCATATAGTTTTGGTGGTATGTACCTTATACATCAATCGATTTTATTAAGTTTCTGTTATATATAATAATTTTAACATGTCTATATATACACTAGATATCGGCAGCGCTCTTTATGGTCGATGGATGAGGCTTGCAGTATTGTTTTCAATAACCATCTCACAGGTAGATTGTTCGTTTTATGGCGATGATCCAAAGTTATGATAGCTAATATTTTTCTCCTCAGATTGGATTCGTATGTGCCTATATGATCTTTGTTGCAAAGAATATCGGAGCCGTTGTCTTTGAACTCACTGGAGTTCAAAGGGATATCTCCTTTTATATTATAATTCAGATTTTTGTTTTTGCACCACTCGCCATGATCCGTCGCATTTCGCGACTTTCATTTACCGCACTTATTGCAGATGCTTTCATCATGTTTGGACTTTTATATCTTTATTATTATGACATTTTGACATTGTCAAAAAATGGTGTTGGTAAAATTGCCGCATTTAACTCGGATGATTTCGCGTTATTCATTGGCACAGCTGTTTTTACTTTTGAAGGAATTGGTTTGGTGTGTTTGATTTTTCCTTATCACGTCAATTACTTGCGCTCAATCAACTAACAATAAATTTCGTATCATTAGATAATTCCTATCATCGAATCAATGAAAGAACCTGAGAAATTTCCTAAGGTTCTTACCGGTGTAATGATTTTTATTACTTTTATCTTTACTTCAATCGGTGTCTTATCTTATGCTGCATTTGGCGACCAAATTGAGGATGTGGTTATTTTAAATTTACCTCCTGATGATACGATTGTCCAAGCCGTCCAATTTTTATATGCTCTTGCCATCCTCCTTTCCATTCCTCTGCAACTGTTTCCAGCCATAAGAATCATGGAACAAGGATTATTTAGTAAAAGCGGAAAGGACGATCATTATGTCAAGTGGCAAAAGAATTCGTTCCGCCTATTAACAGTTGTGTTTTGTGCCTTAATTGCGTATGGTGGTTCATCTGATCCAGATAAATTTGTTGCACTGATCGGTTCCCTCGCATGGTATTTATGTATACTTGCTATTATCTCTTTTTACGATTTTTATTACTCGTTGACTCTCTAATTTTCTTTTGGATCGTGCCCAGTGTACCTCTCTGCTTTTTATATCCTCCACTATTTCACATCAAGGCGGCGGCACATACTTGGAAATCCAAACTGTTAGATGTTTTTATATTCTCGTTTGGACTTTTTTCATTGATTTACACCACCTACATAACACTTGAAAAATGGGGAAGTAAACAGTAAATCAAGCCTTAAATTACTTGAGTATATAGACAAACCGATCACAGGTATAGATCCATTCTGGTGGATGTATGTACTTATATCTGACTAGGAATTAGTCGCAGGGATAGATTACAATTTTTTTATGGTGGCGCCAAATGCCAAGCTGATTTCTCTTATTCGCCATAGAGATCATTGGCAATGCATGTGAAGGAAAATGTAATTAAATTTTAATAACTTTCATTATGTCAATTGTAGAGTCGTAAAGCATATTCAACTAATTCACACGGCTATCATTTCTCGAGTATAAATATACAATAGGGTGTTAATAGGGAGTTGGTCTGGGTTTGGATTTTTTAAGTATATGGGTAATTATTTCGAAGGCTGACAGTGATTTTTATATCTTGTAATTGTGTTCCTGAAATTTGCGATATGTACGTATTGTTTAAAAAGTAGTACCGAAAAATCTTATTCAGC